TATGAACCCTCGGCATGCTGGTGTTTTTGGAAAAAACATTTGTAAGTATTAAATCCATTATGTTTAGCAGTCTATTGACCAAATTACTTCTTTCAATTACTTAATCTTTTTATGTAAAGTTTTGGTTGAAATAACAATTGAATTTGAAAGTATGCCGGGTTAGCGCCGTGTGCCTTTGCCGTTGCGACCCCAATGTAATATGCTTCTTTCATCAGTCAGTACGTTGATTTTCTTGCAGCCGTTTACAGTGTACAAATATTTTTGGTTGTTGCTTGCTCAAGTAACTTAACTATACGACGTGTTCTTTAAAGTGAAGAATAAAGCTTCAAAATGATATAAATTACTTTAAAGTAATTTAAAATTATGTTTATTCGGTCTTAAACCTTGTTGTTCACGGTATTTGAGAAAAAAAATGATATCTTCGGAAATAAAATGTTTTATGAACACATTTTTTTCTAAGCTTTAGTTTCCATAATGGAAAACTAGACAGTGAAATGGATGAGTAGACGTAAACCACGGTCATACAAATGAGTTTATCATTAAAAGATGATCTCTTACGTGTTTTACGAGATAGGAAGATGTAAAACGTGCATTGCAACACAATTTAAAATACCCGATAATATTACGTCCCCGATAAAATGATAATTAAACATAATTAACTTTTTTAATACAATTCATTCATAATATTTAACTTTTTAACAATTAAATACTTTAATTTGGTTCTGATTTCGCTCACTTCTGAGTAAAACAAGTATGATTGTTACTGATTAATGATGCATTATCTTCTTTATTCATATTGTATGTCTATCACACTACATAATTTTTTTTCTCATCTTTCACTGTTTAGCCTTTTTAATTCAATATATGGGATTTTTGATTTTTTCTAACTTGTTTGCATTATTTGTCATTCTTTATCTCCCCATTTCCCTCTCTCACTCTCTCTCTCTCTCTTTCTCTTTCTCTCTTTCTCTCTCCCTCTCTCCATTTCTCTCTCTCTTTCTTTCGATAATGCACACAGTAACTAACACATTTACAATGGTCAAATAATAAAAAATCCAAGAAGAAAAAATCTTTGTAAGTCACATTTTTCCTAATGCAATCCATATGTGGAGTCCACTCGTACAGTAATAATTTTAAAAAATATTGAAAAACTTCGTGTCTTACATTAACATTCTCGTCACCATCTTCAGCACTCCTGAGAAAATATCTTTCATCTCAGAATTGCTTAAGATGTTGGGCCAGAGGTTCGAGCTGTCTTCTCATTAATTTGTAAGCTAAATAGTAAATAAAAGAGAAGCTATAATTTTCTATTGGTTTATCATTTTATAAAGTCATTTTTTTATTTTTTTCATTTGTTTACACATTTTACATTTTTTTATAATTAAAATCACATCAGTGAAAATTTGTTTTCCCTTTGAAAAGGGAGGAAGGAATATTTATCACGCTATAAAAGAGGGCCATTGAGTAAAAGAAATATAAAAACGTAAAAGCTCTCTTAGAAGGACAGCTAATCTAGACTGATGGGTCAGATATCAAGAAGACCATATAAAAGGACAACGAATCTGGCAAAAAAGGGGAAACCGCCCGGTTGTTTTTGTTCGTCGCCTTTTCAGAATTTCGTTTTCTTAAATTTCCCAAGAACAAAGAATCAAACCGGCCGAGACCATGACGACGAAGTTCTAAGGGTTCTACCAATGCTGCGAATACAAAAAGTCCTTTTTTTTATATGAATTAACTTTTTAAATGTTATAAGCGAAATAAAAGTCGTTGAATAAAGACGTTGCTCAAAAGAAATGCTGTCACCTTTAAAGAAAAAAGTGAAGAATTATACATTTTTTATTACTAATTTAAATGCTCAGAATGTTTCACAAAACAAATTTCTTTTCAGTTTTTTATAAAAGCCTACTATTCTTGAACATGTTTTTTTCCAGCAAAGCACAGGTCATATTGACTAGTGCTGAAGTTTCTTTGATACAAAACAAACCTATTTGTAAGGATGTTTATCCTGTAAATGTTTATTGGACCAAAATTTATATTAAAAAACTTTTTAAATATGTTTTATCATTTTATAAAATATAAATCATTTGTTAAAATTTATCATAATGGTAAGTCTTCAACCAATTCAATAATTGATTTTCCAAGGTAAAAATATGTTTTAAAAAGAATTTTTAAACAAAGATTTTTTCATTTGTGTAAGCTAATTATACACGCATGTATGTATATCCTACCTATCACTTCTCACAGCCCACTGAAAATTCCAGCTCTTGTAAATTACAATAAATTGCCGTCAGACCACGAGAATCATCTACCGTATCTGTCGAACCACCCAGGTTGGTCTCCAGTGGCTATCAACAGCTAGGTCATTTCAGCCCCCAACGCAATTAGTCTGCAAATCAACACTCTCACTCAATCTTGAATAAATTCTTTCCTATTTTAGTGCAATTCTCTCGGTGGATACTTGATATTCCACCATCACCTATTATACCTATTGTATAAACCTAATGGAGGGTTGATAGACACTCAATATTCTTTGAATGAATCTCCGCCATTGACCCTCACGTTCACGACAATAAATAAATTTACTTCAACACAGGCTAAGGAAAAACTACTATCACTATTTTATACATGTAATTGAAAAACTCTTTTTCTACTAAGAGTCGGAACTGGGACTACTGATACATTTACTCAATCGCATTTTTCATATCGAGTGACACTCCTACGCACTCTCTACATGCAGCTCAGTAGTTGCATCCTTCATTTAAAGGGAACACATCGACCAACTATTCTCTAACTCCTATGCTGGCTATAATTTTGTCCAAGAGAGTTTTTTTAGTTAATCAATAAGCGTTTTACCAAAACGACTGTATATGATCAATCTTACGCATGTTTCAACAATTTTGGTGGTTGTATATTTATATGTAAGGCCAATAAAAAACCTCTTCATATTGTGATAGTTTTATCAAATACTGTTCAGTCAAATTGATTCAAATTTTATGTTGGAGAATTGTTTATTAACACAAGTGATCTTTGGGTATGCGATCGCCAATATTAATGAAATCTTTTTGGTCGTACTAGGTAGAAAAATATTATAGAATTTTTTGCAATCATTGGGATTGGATTAAAATTCATTGTTATTTTTCTTGTTTGTAATGTATTTACATGTTTTTGGAATAAGCTGAAAATAGGACATTCTACCTTTATAACGGTGGTGAAAATGTTAATTTTTTATAAACCCATAGGGTTTTGAATTTGTAAATGGAACAAGACACTATAGAAAAAATACTTGGCACTAATCCATCCCTTATATGTCTCATCTGTGCTATAACAATTCGTATTTGCAAGTTTCACATGTTGCGTAAAATGAATCTTATTTCTTTACGAAAGGACGCTCAACTGTAGACCTTAAAGTTCACTTTAATGGTGAAAAAATTAACTTGTCTCCCTCAATAAGGTACCTCGGCGTTCGGCTAGATGGTAGATTATCGTTTACAGCCCATATCAATGAACTAATACAAAAAGGAAAAACGCATGTAAAAATATTTTTTCAACTCTTGTGTCGAGGGTCACAGATGAGCGTTCAAAACAAGTTGCTCATCTACGAAACCATACTAAGGCCAGTATTGACTTATGCATGCGCTGCTTGGGTTGACTTATGCATGCGCTGCTTGGGGCTTAACTTGTAACACTAATTATAACAACTGCAAAGAACTCAAAATAATTTCCCAAGGTCAAGCACTAACAGCCCATTAGCATCCAAGATATATGATCTCCACACAAACTCCGGAGTACAATTTCTGCGCGAGTTCGTAGAAACCAATTGTCAAAGATTTTTTGATAGATGTCCTGGTAACGCCTTAAGATTAATTCAAGATATCGGGAAAAAACGTGCACCCAGGGCCAAACACAAAACCATATGGGACGTCAAGGCGATGCTAAAATTTATTAACGCCTAACTTAGATATTTAATTAATGTATTTATTTGATTTGTTTGTATATAATTTATTTACTTATTCATGTATTTATGTACTTATTTATTATTAACTATTTATTCTAAGTTGTGTTATAAACACATGTAGGCATATATGTACATGTGTGCTTATGTACTTATTTTTATTTATTTTATATGTAATTATATTTATAATTTTTTTAATTTATTAAGTACACTAGGGCCTCATACATCATATTATACATAGACTAGACTCGTATCACAATAAATATTAGTCGTAGGGATTTTTAAAATTTTTCCCCAGCAGTTGCAATTTGCCAATAAATTGCGTGGTGAATAAAAGTATTGTCCTGGGGTCACTGTGCATATTTGTTTCTTAACATAAAATAAAAGACAAAAAAAGGAAATAATAAAAAATAAATGGAACAATAGGACACTGTGGAAAAAACCCCTCGGACAAATCAATCCCTTATATGTCTAATGTGTGCTATAAAAATTCGTATTTACAAGTTTTGCTTGGATCGTAAAAAGAATCTCAATTGGTTTTTAAAAATTGACCTACTGTACCAGATGAATGTTTTGAATTTTATAACTTTTCACGTATTTAATAACATATATGATCCTGCATATACTTTTCTTCGTCATCGTAAAAAACTAGTATATAATAACCTCGGGTTACATGCATAACAAATTTATAAAATCATATTTTGAAAAATTACTCCAATTATTTGAAATGTTTTTCCTCCGTTCCTAATAATACTTTTGGCCGATGCTCGTCTCTGTAGATACCACCGTACGAAAAGTAATTGCATAAATTGAATTTATATAAGAAAGGATCAGCCCACTTTTTCCGCCGGCTCGTCCTTTCCTGCCGGGTCGGCCCGGTCCATTCTTGACACTCCTACCTAACAATAACTATGACCAATACTGAAATATTAAGGTAAAAAATATTTAAAAAATAAAGATATTTAAATATTACGACAGGATATCAAATAACTTAATGAACACAAGTTTTGTAACCGACATCGCCGAAACGATTCAGTAACTTCCAAAACTGACTACAATAAACAGTGTATTGCCATTTTAATAAAGAGTTAGATTTTTCATATTTCATTCATTTTTCCTTTGTCGTGATATCAGTCAGTTAAGTTAACCTCCTCCCAAGAGCTCCATCCATAACTCAGCTAGAAAGTTTCCAAGGGATTAATTTATTTACAATAAATTGACGGCTCAGACGGATGGCCGTAGTTGCTGCGATAAATCGACCTCTAATTATAAGAAAAAAAATGCTGGTTTTTTTTTTGTTGTAACTTATTATTAGATCGATTATCATGACATACTCACTCTACTGTAGTTTTAAATTGCAAAGATGTCTGTTTTTCCAACTCACCTAAAACAAAGAATAGATTTCATTAAAAATAATTGAAAATCTGACCAGATATTATATAGACAAAAATAATGACATCGTATAGTTTCTCTTCAAGAGTTGGGTACATACTGAAAATTTTTGAAAAGGTTTGTAAAACATTCCCAAATAAATAATACAGACTTGTTGCAGACCATAAAATCCATAAATAGAAACTAATGTAAGTTAGGCGTCAATACTCGTTTTGAAGAAAGAGAAATTTCTTGAACATTTTTGTTATTACATGTTTTCAACAAAATTATTAAATCCTTTAGCACAATGAAGTACTACGTGGACAGTCAGTTGTATTATAATTGGAATTTCTTACCCGTTTACTAGATGAAATACAGATATTATTCTATATTATGCACCGCTTTACATATGAATATTATTTTATTACCGAAATTATTCAGCATGTTAGGATTGACTTTTAATAGAAAGAACTGGGAAAGTCAGAAATAATCTGGTTTTGATTAAAGCCGTAAGGATTGAAAAAATGAGAAAAATCTGACAACTGGAAACGCGAGCATTCGAACCCGACAAACTTACAAATGTTTTATTTTTTTCAAAAACACCGACACCCCGAGGGTTGATATAATTTCTGCTGTTGCGAACCCTCGTAAAAAAATTATTATGATTAAATGGATGGAAGGAGAGGAGTATGTTAGGGGTAAGAAAAAAATGACAAACACGAAATGCGAATATAAGAAGTAAAACAGTAACTAAAATTGTCACTATAGCTCAAGTGGTCAGAGCAGCAAAACACGTGTGAACTAACAAAAATCGGTGAGGGTAGACAGACGAGAAATGTATGTAACAAACAGTACATTCCTTTTTAGGTAAAAACAAAATTGATAATACTTTTCTGCTTCCCCTCCCATTGACAATTTTTTTAACCACATAATTTGTGACCACATTGAGACGATTCCACTAATCTGCATGATATTTCCCAGTGTTTATATCTATATAAACTATGTGTAAGTGCAAAAACTCATTCCTCGTAAATAAATCACGTCTAGAGACATGTAAAAATAATATAAAAATTTTTATTGACTTTATCCTTATTTTTCTTGCATATAATGACATTGAATACAAAGGGTGATATAGCTCTAAGAAGGGAGATACAGATTTGGATCATTTGTAATACTGTGAAATGTGCATAAAATTAAGAATAAATTTTTTTAAATGGTACACCGAACATTAGTGAGCATAAAATTGCTCCTTTGCTGATCAAGACAATTTTTTTGTTTATTGATTGGCATAAAACACTCACATTTAAGATATTTCAAGAATCCCTCAAACGATTCGGAATACATTTTCCCACAAAAAAGATTTAGACCTAATTCATAAGGAAGGTATTTTAACCTTATTAAATATTAATTAATCTTTTTATGTAAGGTTCAACCAAAAACCTTACATAAAAAAATTAATTACTTGAAAAAAGTTGCAACCAACTAAATATTTAAAAAGTCGTAAAATAAATTAAACGGCATTAATAAATACAGCCCCGTTAATAATTTTGCAAGGCCAGTGATGCCGATTCCAACAAAACCTTTCTTTATTTCGTTCAGTTATCATTCTCGTCCGTCTAGTATCGCTTTCTTTATGACTAATCGTATGGACATATTAATACAATAATCTAAAATTCAATTTAAATAATATATGGTAAATGATGATTAAGTTGATAAAAACTAAGAAAAATAGACGGGGATGGGTAGGCTAAACCCGCAACACATGACAGTCGTTACGAACTGTATACACTTCGCGCCGTATTCATTGAAGAGGATTGGTCATTGTTTATCTTATTTTTACTGTAAATTTACCTACTGTAAAATTTAAAAAAATATTATCTATCAAAATGATCTGCCACACTCAATTCAAGACAAAAATTTGAAAAGGCTTAATAAAATGGCAGAGAAAAGTGAAAATTTATTGAAAGCTGCCCGTTATCCTGGAGTATCAATAAATAAAATGAAATAATTTTATGCATTTTCTTTCAATTATGGTTTATAATGAAACATTGCATTCCATCATCTAATGGCAAATCAAAAACGAACCTTGGTTCAATAATTTCCCTGTGGAAATAATATGTTATAGTTACATATTTATCCAGAGGGTGGTAACATTGCGGGCGGTAACATTTGCTAAAAGGGAGGGGTACCTTTGATTTTCATTACGGGCCCGTAAAGATTGCCAATCCAATTAGGACCGGCTATGACCACAAGCGTCGTGTACACCTTGCCCGATATAATTCAATAAACTTGAAGCAAATTCTTTATGAAAAACTTTATTTCCAAAGGAATCGAAATTCGAAACAGATTTCACAAAAATGTATTTTAGAATAAATTTTTATTGAAAAAACCTACGGATGTCAGTATTAAAGAAGCAAAAATTAAGAAGAACTAATAATATTTTACCCAAAAATAATTCAAGAATTCACCTAAGGGGAAATATCATTATTTACGAACTTTTCCAGAACAGTCGGAAATTTTTGTATACTTATCTATCCCAGTTTGGCAAAATGATTGAATACGACTAAACTATTGGCTACACGTTAGACTTCACGAAACAAAATCTCGCAATTTATCCATAATAGTTTTAGGTGTGTATTCGTACGTGAAGTTTAAAAAAACCTAAGTTCAGTTGTCTGCTACTGTTCGCATTCTGACAATGGACCAATGTTGTTTCTTTATCTTAACAACAGAGTAAAAATTGTTGTAAAAAAAACTCTAATTTTCTTTACAATAATGTTTTATTGTATGTTCCACATTACTTGTTAATACCAAAATATTAAAAGAAGGTTAAAAGACAAGTAAAAGCGGAAAACAATATAAAAACGTTGAAAAAACAAGAACATTGTTTTTAGTTATTAGTGTTTTCTGGGTTAATTTCAATTTTACCAACTTAACTTAGACATATTTGCCTTGAAAATCGAATCTATGGGAATGAAATATATTTCGTTAAATTTTGTTATTATATTTTAACAGGATTGTATCAATTTGATACCATAATATGATTAAAATAAATATATGTATTATAAAAACAATGAGAGAGAGACAGCAAGAAAGAGCTAAAGAGTGAGAGAGTGATAAATTAGTAGCAAACAGCACTCAGGCATGTAAAAAAATGAATAGATCGATAAAACAAGGGAGATACATAAAAAAATAGTCATGGGGGGTGGAACAGTGAGAAAGACAAAGAAAGAGCGAGAGAGATGGATTAGATACCTAGATAGATAGAAAGTTACATACATACATAGAAAGTTAGAGAGAGAGAGAGAGAGAGAGAGAGAGAGAGAGAGAGAGAGAGAGAGAGAGAGAGAGAGAGAGAGAGAGAGAAGTTGATAGATACATATATAGATAGTTACATAAACAGAGAAAGAAAGAAAGAGGTTTAAATACATACGAATATATTTATAAATTTAAACTATTAAGACAACAGTCAGACAGAGTAAAAAATAAGGAGAGCATGAGAGAGAACTAAAGAAAATCAGGGGTAGAGACAGAAAGCGTAAAGGAGAGAGAGACATAGAGAGAGAGACATAGAGAGAGAGAAAAAGAGAGAGAGAGAGTGAGAAAGGGCTAAACAGTGTGCGGGCCAGAGAGACTAAATTAATATTGTTTTGTTTATAAAAATCTCGGAAATTTAGGTGGACTGTCTCTTCCAGTTAACCGAACAAAAACCCTGGTCATTTTATATCAATATGTCTTAAAAACCATTGCTATTAAAATACTAAATATTACAAATTATACAAAAATGATACTAAAACTTTAAAACTACTTTATATAAATATATATAATATAAAATATTATATACAAAACGTATACATTTTCTGGCTTATTTTCATTGGGCATGAACTTAACAAAATAACACATAGTTGAAAAAGGTTTTAGTAGATACATTTTTCTTCCTCAGGTGATTCTAGAACATGTATTTGGATAATTTTAGTGCATGACTTGAAAAATTCTGTTGCCCTACCCACTGATACATCTTCCTTTTTGCTCTAAATGTAAAAAAATCTATACAGTGCGATAAGCGGAAGTTATCTTTTTATGAAATATATTTTTTCTCATTTATTCGGATTTAAAGGCTTTCCGGTAATATATCCGGACTGACTGGTATTTATTAGTGGCAGAAAATCAGTTTTCCAAAATTAAACCTTGAGCTTTAATTAAAATGCGGAAACCAGGCTGATGATAAAAACTCTCGACCCTGGTGGGGGGGGGGGGCGTGATGACAGGCTTATTAGTCGTCCCCTGTTTTGAAGAGAGTTGTGGTCTCATTAATTTATTCTTGCCCCCCTCGCCGCAACGTGAGCGTTTAGGTGACCCGAAATGAAATCCTAAGTGGTGCCTCTAATTATTTTATTTAGGATAAATTACACTTTCCTAGCCGGTTTAATTTTTACGAAGAAAAAATCTCGGCAATACTAAAAAAATTAAACACGTCTCGAGAGAGAACGAGATTAAACCAGGTAAAATTAAAGAATTCATTATTTACACAATGATCCTAGGTTTTAATTGCGATTTTTTATTATACTGTGCAGCATTCATGTGTAAATAATGTAAAATCAAGTCTGTACTACACTTAATTTAGTGCTATTCGTTTTGTTGAGTTTTTATTTAGTTATAAATTCATTATATTTTTCAATTACTGTTAAAATTTTCATCATTAGATTAATAAAATTTGGTTATTTCCACCCGGATTTTTGGGATGAATAAAAGATGTAGATTCTTCCAAATAACCCAAGACACGTTTTTATTCTATTTATCTTATTTTAGCTGGTACCCTCCAGGGATATCATTTTTTCCCACTTGCTTTACTCATTATTTACAACTGATATCACTTTACATCAGGCATCTCATTATTCACATGAGACGATGGCCTGGCAATACTCTTCATAAACCTTGTTATTTCTAACCAAAATCTTTAATTAATAAAAAATCATAAATGGTCGTTTTCATTGGCTTGATCCTTCAGTTCAA